GTCCTGAGGCATTAAATAAACCAATACAGATACAGCGAAAGGACATATAAATGTCATTTATATGAGGACAAATAAATGTTTAAAAATAACTTTCAATAAAGTTAGCTATCTGGGGTCAAGTAACCCATCCCAATACAGGTATCATAAATTTTAAACATAAATGTATGTATGCCTGTAAGTATGTGGTATACCTTGGGTATAAAAACAAAACCAAAGGCAGACATTCTACTTTCAAGATAAAAAAATGCTACTGGCATCTTTAATATCACTCTCCAATGGCTGTGCTTTAGCTTGAGGTCTGAACTAGGTAAATTCAGGCTTGATCTACTTTTAGGATTTTTAAGGACCATAAGCTGGAGCCCAGGCATTAATCATGTACAGAAATTCAAGAAACTCAGACCTTGGGAAATGGATATCAGACAGAGGGAAATCAAAACCAAAGGAAAAAAAATGCTACTAAATGATAGAAATTTAAAAAGAGTTGTCAAATTGCATATGCTTTGCTCTTCTTTAAGTATGATCTTCAATTGTTTGGAAGGAATTGGAGGAAATTATGTTTCCAACACAACAGCAGAAATTGGGCATAGGATGTATTGTTTTCCTCCCTTGAAGTGCAATGATGTGCAGTGGCAGAAGCAGCAGATGCAAAAATGATCATCAGCTCCCCAAGGAAACCTAAGCACTGGATGTCACATCTGTACTGAGTGGGACAGCCTACTACCTATTTGTGGCCATCAACACTTCTATTCTAGATAGTGATACCAGAGGTTCATTACTGATTTTGTGACAGGAGGCTATGGAATCGGTCCATTTTAAAATTTTGTGTTGAATCTTTTTGCATCAGTGCACTCAGCTTAGGAAGCATTCCAGAGAAAAGCCCAAAATATTGTTTACCTTGGAGCTTCCCAGGTGGCGCTAGTGGTAAAAAGAAATCTGCCTGCCAGTGCAGGAGACTAGACATAAGAGATATGAGGGGGAGGGAGTTGGGAGGGGGGTTCAGGATGGGGAACACATGTACACCCATGGCGGATTCAAGTCAATGTATGGCAAAATCAATACAATGTTGTAAAGTAAAATAAATAGATAATTTTTAAAAAAGAGAGAGATTTGAGTTTGATTCCTGGGTCAGGAAGATCCCCTTGCCTGGAGAATCCCATGGACAGAGGAGCCTGGCGGACTACAATCCACAGAGTTGCAAAGAGTCAGACACAACTGAAGCTAGTTAGCATGCACATCATTTACCTTGTTCTAACAATGCTGCTCTTAGAAGTGCAAGCTAAAGCAATGTTAATTAACCACAGAGCTCCAAAGAGGACAGGGCCATGGACAGTGATCAGGTCCCTGGGCAAGGAATCTGAATGCTTGACTGATGGTCCCAGCCCTGACAACAGCTCTGTCTTGCTGGTGTACATGTCTCATATAGCTCCCCTGGCTGTAAGCTTCCTTAGGAAGTGACATATTTATGCTATTTGTGCTATTCCAAAACATCCTGAGAAAGCTCTAGTTACTTATTTCCCAAGCTTTGGTGCTTCTATGACTTGGTGAAGAGATTGCCTCTCCTCTCCCTCGCTTTTACATTGTGTGTGCATGTGTGTGTTCAGTTGTGTCCGACTCTTTGTGACCCACAGACTGCAGCAGGCCAGGCTCCTCTGTCCATGGAATTCTCCAGCCAGGAATGCTGGGATGGATTGTCATGCCCTCCTCCAGGGAATCTTCCCGACGGGGGATCGAATCTGCATCTCCTGCACTGGCAGGCTGATTCTTTACCACTGGGCAACCCGGGAAGCTCCCGCTTTACATTATGCTGGCATTAATTAGTATATTGCTTGTGTTACTTTCCTAGGGCAGCTGGAAAACAAGGCACCACAAACTTGGTGGCAAAAACAAAAGAAATCTAGCTTCTTATAGCTCTGGAGGCCAGAGAGACAAGTCAGCACTACCGGGATGAAGTGAAGGTGTTGGCAGGGCTGCACTCTTTGGAGGCTCTAGGGAAGATCCATTCCTTCCATCTTCAAGTCTGTGGTGGCTGCCAAGACTCTATGGCTTGTGGCTCGTCACTCCAGTGTTTTCAAATCTTTCTGTCCCACCTTCATATTGTTTTTCCTGTGTGTGTGTGTGTGTGTGTGTGTGTGTGAAGTTTCCCTCTGCTTCTATAAGGATACTATGATGGAATTTAGGATCCAAATCAATTATTCAGCAGAACTTGCCCATTTCAAGACCCTCCAATTTAATTACACCTTCAAAGGCCCTTTCTCCAAATAAGGTAATGCTTGCGGGCTCCAGGGACCAGGAAGTGGATATGGTGGAGGCTAGTTTATAGCTACTACGACTCCCTTTAGGGCCAACTTCCAGTCCCCAGAGTTCAGCCTGTATCACTTGGAATTCCTCTGTCAAGGCTCCTCCTTGTGTCTACCAGGCTCCAGTTTCAGTTCATCTCCCATCCATAAGCCTCTGGACTTTGGCCCCAGTATCCATCTCCTTCTAGCACTGGTGGTATCTTATAGGATGACCATCAACTAGAAAATTCTGGTAGTTAGAGTACAGAGATAGGTAAAGATAACCTCCCTCATGGGAACTGAATTCTGAAAATAGTGAGGCCAAGACTTTAGTTACAGGTGACTGAGAAAATGTCAGATATGGACTGATGACTCTTTTCAAACAGAGTGGCTACCAAANAACCTCCCTCATGGGAACTGAATTCTGAAAATAGTGAGGCCAAGACTTTAGTTACAGGTGACTGAGAAAATGTCAGATATGGACTGATGACTCTTTTCAAACAGAGAGTGGCTACCAAATCCACTGTCTTCTCTGACTATGCTGCTTTATGGACACAGCTAATATCCCCATCTCTCTCTTGGTCTCAGCTGGTGAACACCCGCATCAACATCTTTTGGTGCCCACCAACCTAGCACAGGGCTTGCTTTGTCTTAGACACAAATCAAGTGAGGGGAGAAGTACATGCCTGTCTCTGAGGGGTCTGTTGTATGCCGACCCACTGCAGCCTTACAGCTAGTCAGCCTTGAGTTTTAGGAGCTCTGCCTGGAGCCAGGTACCAAAGACACAGCTTTTATTATATCACAAAACCACAGTGCTCAGTATATGTAACTGTTACATGGTTATCATTGCCATCATACCTCTCATGGGAAATAATGAATGTTTAACAAAGATTTGCTGGTAATACTAAGTAAGGCCCAGGCAGACTAAGTAAAATAATAAAAATATCCCTGAACCCTAGGGCCAAAGTTAGACTCAGGAACTTAACAGCTATGGTTTTAAGAAGGTAACCACTCACCAGAAAGGGTGACATTGAAAAGTGAGGCGAGCATCCCATGGGTGTGTGTAGTGGTTGGCAGCTGGTGAGGGCAAAAGGAAGTGGCTGGTGAGAGTCATTGACTTTTATGGAGATAAAAATATGATGAAAGCATGTAAACTCCACAAAGGGACAGGCTATTGGTGAGATAAGGCAAGCGGTAAGAAAGATTCCTCTTTTCAGGCTCATTCTTCCCTGAGAAAGATCTCTAGAAACTGCAATGATTACATAAGAAACCTAGTGGGGCCTGATCCTCCCCTCAAGTCCCTGGTTCTTCCCAGTGAAAGAGTTATGGGAGGGACATCCCTGGTGGTCCAGTGGTTCAGACTTCACCTTCCAGTGTAGGGGGTGTGGGTTCAAACCCTGCTTGCAGAACTGAGATCCTACAAGCCTTGTGGCCAAAAACCCCAAACCTAACAAAGGCAACATTGTAACAAACTGAATAAAGACATCAGGATAGAGTCACAGCGAGGGGAGGGGACAGTGGTACCTCTGTCCTCTCTCAATGGGGATGGGGTCCAGCTCTGAACCTCACAGCCCACCTTCGACCCAGAAAGAAACCCCAGAACTGGATAGAGAACCAACCTGACTCCGAGTTGAGAACACCCTGGCCTCTGGGACCTCCCTGTTTGAGACCAGAAGAATCTGACACTGTCTGCCTTAGCTGAGCTGTCTAGATGCTTCTTTTTGACCTAGTTATTTGGCATTTATCCCATTCTTTCAGCTCTTCTTTAGAATTCTGCCTGTCACTTGGTAGATTTATTATGCCAGCCAGTCCCCTCCTGTTAAACTAAGCTCTTCTTAATGTGTCTTCTTGAAACTGGAATGAATGCCTGATGGGATCTGCAAATGAAATACATCTCTGTTTATGGACACGAGGGAATGAAAACACTCCCCACAATTAATTCTATCTTTCCTCCCCTCCCTTCTTTCTTTTTCTTTCTCTCCCCAACCCCTCTTTCTCTCTCTTTTTAACAAAAGCCCCTCATAATAACATCCCAGCTGCATTCTAGAATCTTGAATCTATATGATTTGGAGCAGGTGAATACCTCTATTAACAGCAGTTCTCAACCAAGGGTGATTTTGCCCCCAGAAGACATTTGGCAAAGTTTGGAGACATTTATGGTTGTCACAACCCGGACGGGGAAGATAAAATGCTACAAACTTCTAAACAGACGCAAGCCAGGGATGCTGCTAAACATGTGACAGCCCCCAACAACAAAGAATTATTCAGCTTCAAATGTCAACAGTGCTGAGGTTGAACAAGCCTGGTCTATAAGTCCACTTTTCAAGGCAGTGGTCCAAAAGTGTCAGCATGTTCTCTAAAAGCTACTATTGCACTGGTTGGTAAACTGCTCTTGGAAAAGTCAAACCAATTAGCTAAAGAATTTTTGGATAATCTACACATCATTCTGTTCAACAGTGCTGTGGGCCTTACGTCTTACCAAATAATTACACATAGATCACATGAGCTTTTTAAGAAATACTGTTCTCTGGGGAGAAAACGTGCCCCACTCACACCTTGTCACAGGTTCTAACAGCATAGCCACAGAAACCTGTGACAGCTTGCCTGTATTTATTCTAGTAATGAAGCCACCCAGCCCTCCCCCATCACTGAGCCCTTGATTACTATGAAGTGAGACACCGTGGTAGGCAGACACACAGAACTCGAGCTGTTACCAACAGTTACCTGGGTGGACAATCCTTTTCATGACACTTCTTCTGTCTCCCATTGGGTTGTGTTTCTGGGTCACAGAACGTTGCTTTCACCATCCCACGACCCTTCTTCACACAATAGGCAGTCTGGCGTCGGATACCTGGGGGTTTTGCAGAAAGGTTCACACATATTAACCCTGAGCCCACATTCCTAGTATCAGGTGAGGCCCCTGATCATGCCTATAACTGATGAGAAAGTTGTCCATAAAGTATTTGGTCTTTATTTTTATTTTCTTAAAGTTTTTTTTTTTTTTGATGTGGACCATTTTTTTAAAGTCTTTATTGAATTTGTTACATTAGTACTTCAGTTCTATGGTTTGGCCTTTTAGCCATGAAGCATGTGGAATCTTAGTTCTCCAACCAGGGATCAAATCCACATCTCCTGCATTGGAAGATGAAGTCTTAACCAGTGGACCACCAGGGAAGTCCAGAGTATTTGGTTTTTAAAGTAGGAATGGGGATCTCCTTAAATCTGCTCATGCTGCTGAAGGCAATGGGTGAAAAATATCTTCCTTAATAAGGACCACAGATGATATAGGCAAATTAATATGTAATCTAGTATATAGATTCCACTCTAGCTGTGGAGACAAGACTAACACACATACGCCAAGTAAAGCACAAAGTGAGATTTAAATACTGAAAGCAGATGCCATCACCAGCTGTTGCAACACAATCAGACTTATTTAGTTTAATAAAAGAAGAGAGGAATGGGAGCTTTATATTAGTTGGGGCTTGTAAACTCTGAAAGATAGGAATAAAATTCAAAATAATGCTGTGAAGTTGAGAGGTTATTTTTTTTAAAGTAGAGGGTCTGACAGCGGGGATCGAAAATACTGTTGCCTTAGAGGTCTCTAAGTAAGTAAGCAAGAGAAGCATATAGAAATAGCTGGGTCTACAGTTGAACACAGCCCATGTGGGGGCTGGATTTGACTTTGGATATAGAATAGTAGTTCGGTTCGATCCCTGGGTCAGGAAGATCCCCTGGAGAAGGGAATCGCTACCCACTCCAGTATTCTTGCCTGGAGAATTCCTTGGACAGAGGAGCCTGGCGGGTTACAGTCCATGGGTTCGCACAGTCAGACACGGCTGAGCGAGTAACACAAACAAGGCCTCAACTGATAAAATTATAAAAATATCCCTCTTCAAGAAAATTTGATTCCACTTGTAAAATCTGCTACTCATAGGTTTATCAGCGTGTAGACTGGAGTACTTTAATTAGAACAAAGGCCAATCCAATTGGGCAAATAATACTATCAAGCTACCCCATATTTCACTGTGATGTGCTTAAAGTCAGAAGTCGTTTAAAAAAATAATTGTAAACTACAAGACCCATATGTTTCCTTTTCTCTGTTAGCCCTAAAACAATAAACTAAGATAACAAATGGAATTTTGCAGGCTTTGGTTAGAAGCGTTTATCTTCAAAAGAGACTTGAGAAGGAAGATTTAACTGACCTTTCCATGTAAGAAAGCATATCAACTACTGAGATTTGTCTTTCGTGTTGGCACCTCCCCACAAAAGAAGCGAGAAGTTAAAATCAGCTCCAACTTGTGAAAATTAAAAGTAACCTTCAAGTAATTAGCCTCCAACTAATAAAAATAAATGAAAAAAAAAAAAAGCAAAACAAACAAACACTTTTTGTTTCTTAAAGCTCAAAGGGTCCTTGGAATAAGATTTATGCTCAACTTCAGAGGGTCAAACCTATTTCTTGAAATCAGAGAGGCAAAACAAATGACTTCAGATTTTAACTGCATGCAAGTGTTCAAGATTTAGCTCTTAGCACTTCCCTGCTAGTTCAGACCACCTCTGTCTCTCTGGTTGTCTACTTCTCCAACTAGTATGAAAGCCATATTCCCAACTGAAGCAAACCTGAAACACACAGGAAATGCTGTCAAGCAAACCCTTTCCATATCAAGGAAAAGAAGAGGTCTCATTGTGGAATTTGCATTTTTCTGGTTTTCGCCCAAAGTATAATGATTGAAAATGTTCTTATAGGATAAAGTAACATGATTCATAATAAGAGCATGTTCACACAGCAAAAGCATGCTGAAAGGCATATGCTCGTATGTTGGGCTGGATGACGGCCACCACCATGGTGGCTGTGGGCNTCCCCTGGAGAAGGCAATGGCAACCCACTCCAGTATTCTTGCCTGGAAAATCCCATGGATGGAGAAGCCTGGCAGGCTCAAATCCATGGGGTCGCAAAGAGTCGGACATGACTGAGTGACTTCACTTTCACTTTTACTCAGATATGAATGTGAGAGTTGGACCATAAAGAAGGCTGAGCACCAGAAAAATTGATCCTTTTGAACTGTGGTGCTGGAAAAGACTCTTGAGAGTATCTTGGACTGCAAGGAGATCAAACCAGTCCATCCTAAAGGAGATCAGTCATTGGAAGGACTGATGTTGAAGCTGAAATTCCAATACTTTGGCCACCTGATGTGAAGAGCTGACTCATTGGAAAAGTCCCTGATGCTGGGAAAGATTGAAGACAGGAGGAGAAGGGGACGACAGAGGATGAGATGGTTGGATGGCATCACTGACTCAATGGACATGGGTTTGGGTGGACTCCGGGAGTTGGTAATGGACAGGGAGGCCTGGTGTGCTGTGGTTCATGGGGTCGCAAGGAGTCAGACACAACTGAGCAACTGAACTGAAGTCTAAGTGTGTGTATGTATAACATAGCACCTATTATCTACTATGATGTATAATAATTAAAACCTCACAACCCAATGAGGTCAACACTATTACTACACACTATTGCTACCTGACAGATGAGAAAACAGAAGCACAGTGAAGTCATACAGGTTAGGAAGGGAAAAGAAAGGACCACTGGCTTTACTAGCTAGGACATCATCGGCAAGAAAATGTGGGGGAGAGGCCAGACGTCACGGATTGAGAGGTATAGGGCAGGTAGGAAGAGTGTCATCATCTCTCCTGAGGGGGCCAATGATTCCATGCGAAATGGGAAAGCCTGGGTGGGAAGACTAAAGATGGAGGCCCTAAGCAAGAGAGTAATTGGCCAGCACAGAGACGGCACCCTGAGCTCTCAGGGCATCCGGGCCTCGAGTGGGCTCACTGTTGAAGCCCAGAATTGGAAGGGCCACGTGTGCACCAATAAGCTAGCCACCTCCTTGCTTTAGTGCCAATGACATGAAGGGATTCCCCATATCCACAGTGCTGGCGGGACCCAAACTGGGGAGCTCCCCTACCACGCACTGCCTCACATGCCCTTACATGGACTCATGCCAATATCTGGGGCTAGCTTGAATATTCAGATGCCAGAGATTGTATCTCAGATGAGATGGTTGGATGGCATCACTGACTCAGTGGACATGAGTTTGAGCAAACTTCAGGAGATGGTGAAAGGCAGGAAGCCTAGTGTGCTGCAATCCATGGGGTCACAAAGAGTCAGACACGACTGAGCAACTGAAAAACAATAAATTCAAAAATATCAGAAGGAAATGCAAAACAGTAAGTGAAGGCCTTAAAATAAATCAACAGTATCTTGCTGTTCACTCAGTTCAGTTCAGTTGCTCAGTTGTGTCCAACTCTTTGCAACACCATGGTCTGTAGCATGCCAGGCTTCCGTGTCCATCACCAACTCTTGGAGTTTGCTTAAACTCATGTCCATCAAGTCGCTGATGCCATCCAATCATCTCAACCTCTGTTGTCCCCTTCTTCTCCTGCCTTCAATCTTTCCCAGCATCAGGGTCTTTTCTAAGGAGTCAGTTCTTCAAATCAGGTGGCCAAAGGACTGGAGCTTCAGCTTCAGCATCAGCCCTTCCAATGAATATTTAGGACTGATTCCTTTAGGATGGACTGGTTTGATCTCCTTGCAGTCCAAGGGACTCTCAAGAGTCTTCTCCAACACCACAGTTAAAAAAACATCAATTTTTCAGCACTCAGCTTTCTTTATGGTCTAACTCTCACATCTGTACTTGACTACTGGAAAAACCACAGCTTTAATTAGGTGGACCTTTGTCAGCCAAGTGTTGTCTCTGCTTTTTAATACACTGTCTAGGTTTGTCATAGCTTTTCTTCCAAGGAGCAAGCATCTTTTAATTTCATGGCTGCAGTCACCATCTGCAGTGATTTTGGAGCCCCAAAAAATAAAGTCCGACACTGTTTCCATTGTTTCCCCATCTATTTGCCATGAGTGATGGGACTAGATCCTAGCTTTCTGAATGTTGAGTTTTAAGCCAGCTTTTTCACTCTCCTCTTTCACATTTATCACGAGGCTCTTTAGTTCCTCTTTTATTGTTTAGTTCCTGATTTTATTGTTGAGTCAACACTGTTTAGTTCTATTTAAAGAGACAGGTAACCTTTCAACCACTCAGGCTTTCTCAAATGATAGACTATGTCTTTTATTTTTTTTGTTTTGTCATATAAACAAAGTACTACCAACAGCTTGACGCAACACTATAAAAGAATCTTTCATGGCATAATGACTGAGTCATTGTCTGGAAAGATAGACACACCTGTAGAGAAGTCTTATATAATATGAGTGGGGTGGAGATTGCAATGACTGAATCCAAAAAAACTGACATGACATCTGCCATTATAGAAGAGAGAAAAAAAGAAAAAGCTTAGATCTTAGAAGTTTCAATAAAACTTTGGATAGTTTGGCAAATTCTTGGTCTCAAAACATAAAAGGCAACTGTCAGATGACTCTTCACAGGTTGGAAACATTCCCCCCACAAAAGGCTTGTTTCTGTGCATTAAGAGGAAAGATAAGTCAGTGCTTCTCACCCCAGAAGTAGCAGGAGGGCACAGACATTACAAACGGCCCCCACCAGAAAGTTAATAACATTTCAGGAGTCAATCTGCTGAACCAGCAGCCAGATGAGTGGATGAATGGCCCAGGCAGATACTGCTGAGTGCATGGGGGAAAATAAACCACGTGTCAGAGTTTCTCTGTTGGAATTAATGGTCACTGTTGTCACTGTTCAGTTGCTCAGTCATGTCTGACTCTTTGTGACCCCATGGACTGCAGCACGCCAGGCTTCCCTGTCCTTCACCATCTCCCGGAGCCTGCTCAAACTCATGTCTATTAAGTTGCTGATACCATCCAACCATCTCATCCTCTGTCATCCCCTTCTC